CAGCGAGAGCCGCTACCACTTGTTGTTTCTTGGTGTTCCCTTGTAGGTTTTCCCCCCTTCTCTTGTTCCAAGGCCTTCCCTGGCCTTATACCACCTTTGATGGATCGGCAGTAGTTGCAACAGTACTCTGTTTGACCCCATGGTCGATGAGTCGCTGAGCCAAGCGCTTAGCGCTGTTGAAAGTGATAGGGTTGGAGGCCAAGACATGACCTTGAATCTGGGGTGACAACCCCCAAATGTACCTTTCAACCTTTTTCGGTTCTGGGTTGACCATGGTAGGGCACAAGGCGGCAAGGTCGCTGAACCTGGCCGTGTAGGCTACTAGGTCAGACCCAGTCATCTTCAGATTCCAGAGCTCTTGCTCTAGCTTTTGTACCTCGCCCCTTGGGCAGTATTCTTCCAGTAGTAAGACCTTTAAGTCCTCCCAACTTAAGGCGTTGCGACGGTGAGAGTCACGGACTTCACATGGCTTTTCCACCAGGTGAGGGCGCGATCAGTGAGGGTGCAAGCGGCGAACTTGACTTTGCTCGCTTCTTGGCAAGAGCAGATCTCAAAGACCGTTTCGGTCTTTTCGAACCATTGCATTAGTGCAATGACTCCCCCTGTGCCATTAAAAGCTTTTGGCTTTGCGTTGGAGAACTCCTTGTAAGTACATTCCCTTACTTGACCATGACCAGTGCCATGGTTGGGATGATTCGTGTTGCTTCCCGCCCCTCCATTTCCATTGGAGTTTATTTGAGAGAGGGCGGCGGTTACTGCTGCTGGCTCCAATGATGGATGTGGCTTCCCCAGACGGGAGTGGGTCCTTGAAATCCCATCCTGAACGGAGGTTGAACGGATGGAGGTCGGACGGCTGGCGGATTGATTACCTCGGGCTCTGAGGCTGAGCTATCTGAATCTTCATCTTCCTCGTCTTCCATGGGTTCCTCCTCGGGGTCGTCTACAATCCATCCCTCGTTACCTTGGTTGGGGTAGTAGGGGTCGCCGGGGTGATGAAATCCAGCCATTGAGTCTATACGAGAATAGGGTTAAGAATTGACTATAAGCTAAAGCATGTAAAGTTTTACCCTTAAGTTTGACGGTTGAAGATATCCAAATACTCCCATAGTATTCCTAATGATATGCTCTTGGTAAGTTTTAAATTTGTTGTCCACTGCAGACACTCCCTGGCATACGTTAGTCGGCTCTCGGACAAATATAGTTGATCAGACTATATTCATCCCAGTTTCGATTGCATATCCCAAGGCACACCTGAACTGTACAATTTATTTATAATACTTCTATATTGATCTATTTATGACACTGCTATTAATATGAAATGAATGCATGCCTACTTTACAAAAATTAAATAAATTTAATTTTTAAAAGTATGACTCTTACTCAGAGTGTTTTTGCCCAGCTGTGTTTATAGTTGTATACCAAAAATGGTTTTGATATACTTAATTCACTATAAACAATGCTCTGATACCAATCTGTCACACCCCCAAACCAGAACGGCAGAATCGTTCGGGGGCGGAGGACGTCATATTCAGTATCATAACAGTTCAAAGTAAGGAAAGTACACACCACCATATATATAAAAAGGTTTCAAAATGTTTACATAATTGTATTTGTTACATGATCAAAAGATAATTACATAAACATCTTTCAAAAGAAGTAATTAACGTCGGAGCGTTAATCCCCAAAAGTCGGTTTCCAAACCTGCTTAGCGGTTCCCTGAGAATACAAGTTATTTCAAAGAAAAAGTGTCAACATTTAAGTTGGTGAGTTCATAAGCGGTTTTTAGAAAAGGTATGCCATTCCAAAGTTCGTGCGTTTTCCACGAAAATCCCTTATTTTCTTATAAAAGTATGAAATGCATATGAATGTTCGCGTTGTGAATTGTAAATAGTTGTACCAGGAAAATCCCTTATTTTCCTATGAGTTGATTGTTTTAGATACAGGAAAATCCCTTATTTTCCTAAAGTAAAAGGCAGTCTCTAATGTCCAAGACCGAAAATCGCAAGCAACTGACATGCTTAAAGGTTGAGGCATAGTTTTATATAATAAAGCTATAAAAAGATCGCACTTGTTAGATGAAGGATAGTTTTAATAGCTACCCATTCAGAAAAGCAGAATACCATAATAATTGTATATCCGATGAGTTTTATAACCATACTAAACATAATATGCCTGTGGCGACGGTCTTCAGGCGTTGAAACGTTTATGACAAACTGTCACCCAAAGGAATGTAGCTAACAGTCAGGGCGCGGGATCATGACTTCCCGTATAGATCTATACACATTTGACACGCTCTCCAAACGGGAGACTCTGGTTATAATAGACAGGACTTTAAGTTGTACCTTTTCGCAAAAAGGTAGCGTTGAAGATGTAAATGTCTCACGGATTCTCAACTAAGTCTGTATTAAGGTGATAGTTTTGTATACAATGTTTATTCTCTTTAACAATGTTTGACTAAGCATAAATCTTAAGTTCTTTGATTGCATAAAATGGTTTAACAAGGATGGCTACCCTGAATACTATGCATTTTGTATAAACCTAGTGCATGCAAGATATAACAAGAGTTTTCACGTTTTCACTCGGGATTAACCTGGTGTTTACTTGTATTCTCCCCCGAAATGTATTAAAAGTACATTATAAAGTATTTGAAGGTGTATAAAAGGGGCATTAACTCACCTGATTGAAGTGGTTGTTTTGAAGTAGTCGAGAGAAGAATCGAGCAGAACTTCGACTAGAGAGAGTTGAAATCTCGGGATTCTCAGGGATCTCGGGAGTGTAGAACTTCCTTCGGGACTTGAGTATGAAAAACCGGGGCTTCGGGAAGGCTTATCGAGGTAATTTCGCAGAGTAACAGCACTTAGAAGTAAAGAAATGAGCACCAAACCCGGCACCCTTAAGCTTCTATTTATAGTGGCTAATTTGGGGTCTCACGTCGTGAGGCTTAGTCAGCATGATCCTCTTCGATGATTTGACGTGGCTGACACTCTGGAACCCATCAATCACGAGCTCACGTTGTGAGCATGGTCCCCTCACGTCGTGAGGCTGAGTCAGCCTCGGATTTTGTGTCCCGAACTTGTAAAATCCGTAACTTTTGCGTACGAGCTCCGATATCAACGTTCTTTATATGCACGCGTAGGTGTGAAAAGGCTCTACAACTCTCGTTTAGACTTCGTCGGCTAATTTTGAATTTATTTTCATTATATTATTTTTAACAGGCTGGACCTGGAAAAGTCCGTTTAAATTCCATAACTCCTTCATCTGATGTCCATTTTCGTCAGACTTTTGACTGTTGTACTCCTATTGTCGGGGTCTTCAACTTTCGTTTAGGTTGTGTTGGCTAAAGACTGCTCGATCTCTATTTCGAGTTTTTAGTTGTCTACTGCTAGGTCAGAAACTTCGAAAAATCATAACTTCCTCATACGAAGTCAGATTGGGGCGTTCTTTTTATGTATGCTCGCGGTTTAAAGATATTTACAACTTTTATTTATATGCCTAAGGCTAAAAAGTGTTTTATTGAGATTTCTCGTTTTATGCTTAACAGCGCTTTACCGGTAGTGTTACGAATCTTTGATTGGTCATAACTCCTTCGTTATAACTCGGATTCTAGCGTTCTTTATATTTTTGGAAACCTTATCACGATATCTACCACATAGTGTACCCAAACAGAGCTTTTTGAACCTTTCATTTTCGATGATAATCTTATTACTTTACAAAGAGGTTACAAGACTCAACTTTTAGTCATTACATTGACCGGAAATAACGGGTTGTTACACATCAACATTCTCTTCCGCATCAGCATCTAACATCACCAATCCGAATTGGCTCAAGTCATCAACAACTAATCATTCAACAGAAGGTTCCCACACCGCAACCATCACCTCAACCTTCTCCAAAGAAAAGTCATGTGCACTCACCTACTCAAAGTCTAGTTCATTCTCCTCATCAATATCCTCTGTAACAGATTCAACAAGATGATCAACATCAGTCTTCTCCTCACCCAGAGACTCCCCCACAGTTCAAGAACCTTGCACCAACCATGTCATCTAAGCACTCCAATGACTCCCCTGCAACTCGATAGAAGAAAACAGATCAGAAATCAGGAAAATTTGCAAAGTTAATATGTAGAGAACACGGCTTCGACACCACCATAGGTGAAACCTTGATCAACATCTGGGTTAATCCAACCCACAGACTACTCGATGAAGATTATAGGCCTGTTTTGACCAATGCATAACCCCCCTCTGACGAATATTGGGATATTTCGATCTCACCCAATTCAAATTACTTCACTGTCTTTGAACATGTAACATCCCATTTAAAATATAATAATTAAATAACAACCCGGGACCCCGAGAAGTAATTCTAATTATTATTTAATATTATAATAATACGAAACCAAATAATAATTAGTGGGGTGTTGGTTTCTGGAAGCCAAATGGCAAGATTTGAATCTCTAGGGGTTAAATTATAATTTGGGACTTAATTTGTAAAGATTTTCATAAGTCAAGGGGTGTTTGCTATCATTTGGATTTAAATTGAAAAGAGTTTGTAGAGGGAGGGGTTGTTTGATAAATTCAGACTAAATTGTAAAGATTTTCAGAAGCCAGGGTATGATTGGTAACTTTGTGTTCTTATTATGAAAAGATTTTAAAAAGACAGGGACTGAAGGAGTAAGTTTTGGGGACTTTAACGGAAAGGCTTTCTTATGGAAAGGAACTAGATGTGTAATATATATATATATATATATATATATATATATATATATATATATATATATATATATATATATATATATATATATATATATATGTTTGAAGATAGACACGGATGAACCCGTCACCGTATTTAGCCTTCATATAAATTCTTCCTAACCCTCATGCAACCTAACCCTAACACTAATATCATGTACCGGCCACCACTCTCCCTCCAACCTCCCTCCTGTCGTCACCCCCATCTTCTATCTCTTAACCCCGACGCCACCACCATGTCGCCTGTTTCGATCACCCAAGACCAACGATGAAATCCTCTATGACCGGAGGAACTGAAGACCACCAGGGGATAACGGATGATCCTCCTATAGTCGGGTCCTTACCACCAGCCGTTGTTATGTCGTTACTGTTGATGACGAAGCTGCCGACGAGGTTAGCGAACCGTCGTCTCTTTGCTGGTGCTGCTGCTGTACTTGGTGGGTTCGAACCACCTTCTTCCCTCTTCATTTCCCTCCTGATGGCTGCCTCACTACTGCCGTTTTGAGGCTGACTCCCTCCGTCCACCGCAAGCCACCGTGGAATGGTGGTTGAGTTCATGGAATCGCGAAGCTATCGCTGCCGCTGTTCGTTTCTTGTCATGCCGCCTTCGTCACCCACCTCAGTGGGTGGTGGGTTTATTTTTCGAGAAAAAAGGGACTTATGTGCGTGTTGTGGGTTGTGTCCATGATGGGAGAAGGTCGTTGGAGTGCCCCTTGGCCAGAGATCCGAAGAAAGACCACCGCCACTACCGCAGGGTGGTGGTTGCCACCATGAACAGTCGTCTGCCGCCATTAGGTGGCTATGTTTGTCTGTGTGTATTTTTATTAGTTTTGTGCGTGTGTGTATTTTTTAGATTGTATTGTAAGTTGTAATCGATCGGAATAATGAAATGAAACTCTAACCACCACCGTGAGGTGGTGGCTGCCGCCTCCTGCCGCTACCGGCCGCCGTGTCGGGTGGTAGTGGGCTTTGCCTTGTTGTGTTGATTCGATTGGGATGCTTGAAACCCTAATGGGCCCAATGAATCCCTAATGGGCTTAGTGAAATCTTAATGGGCCTAGTGGAATCATAATGGGCCTAATGAACCCTAATTGGTCAAAGGACCTAGTTATTGGGCCTATTGGGCTAATATGGGTTGGAAACCCTAATTAGGGTTTGGAAAACCCTAATGCCATGAAACCCTAATTTGGGACTTAGCATGACCGCATCAGAATTATTTAATGAACTTAAAATATTAAATTATAATCATTGGCAAATTAACGTAGGGCAATATTGGACTTAATGGATTAAGACCTTAATGGAATAAGTCATTAATGGGTTAAGTAGGAACACTTAACCCTCGTCATTTCTTGTGAAAACCCTAATTTCACTTGGGCCTTCCTATTGGGCCTTGGTGATTGGACTATTGATGGGCTATCCAAGAACAAGTAAATGGACTAAAATAATTGTATGAATTTTAGGATGAGGCCCATGTGAGAGTCTTGGGCCCAATTTGGATAATTGGGCCATAGATGGGCCATAATTGGGCCTTTATGATTATGTGATATTGGGCCATAGGAATAAAAAGAGTTGGACTAGAATAATTGGATGGGCTGTAAAGAATGACCATGTAGAGGTCTGGGCCCAATTTGGAAAATTGGGCCATATATTGGGCTTTTGGCCCACTACTTGATTATTGAGCCTTTAGTGTGTGAATTGGACTTTGGGCAAGGAACCCAATTATTAATTGGGTGTTGTTTGATGTTGACAGTTCGGGAATCTGTCAACCAGCAGCTGGAGTTTTATCTTCGGGATTTCAGCAGTGTTAGGTGAGTTATCCTCATTATACCAATCAGTTTGACTGTTATATGATATGAGCTAGCGTATGATATTTATGTGCAGATGTTTTCTTGATTGGGGGTTGGGTTGAGGCGGTCCTGCTTTGTGTTGTAGGCCAACGTACCCGGTGAGCGGTCCGGATAGGCTGTAGGCCCTGCAAGGCAGTGCAGTCATGCCGAAGGCTCGGGAGCTGTCCAGATAGGCTATAGGCCTTGCGAGGCGGTCCAGTCAGGCTGAAGGCTCATTATACATGTTTTTTTGTATTTGTTATATGATACGGTTATATTTGTATGACATTGGTATTTTGGGGAAACTCACTAAGCTTCGGGCTTACAGTTGTTGATTATGTTTCAGGTACTTCTGATGATCACGAGAAGGCGAAGGCGTGATCGTACAGCTCCTCACATCCCATGATTTTATGATTTGGTTCTGGGGATACTCTGATGATTAAATTATTTTGAAAACAAACTGTAATAACTTAATGGTTTTAAATGTTTTAAAAAGTTTTAAATTAGCTTGAATTTTATGGATGTTACAGAACCATTCAACCGCAACCTCCCTGATGTTCAAAGGCTACCTCTCGAATTTGAATGACTTAACAGATTTCATGCCAAGCATGGATCTAAATTTGAGAGCATCTGGTCCAATGACAAACCTTCCGTAGTCAAGAGTTTCAAGCCATGGAAGTTCATGAAGACAGACTTCATCCAATACACACTGACAAGAAAAGATCAAGATTACATCCAAATCCAAGCAGACTTCCCTTGTATGAATTCGGAGGAAGTATTTCTGATTGCTAGGGTGTTTCAGATCAAGTCTGAGAAATATCCAAAGATGAAAATTGCATACGAAAAAGCATGCATATATCTCAAGGAAAAAGTGTGTGATTTTGCAAAAATCAATGCAGACATTCTTATGGATCCTGTCCAGAAGTTCAATCTCCAATCCCTTTATCCTGCTCCGGTGCTCACTGAAGGTTTCCAAGAAAGATCCTTAGGAGCGACAAACTTCCTTCATCTTGGAGTCATTTTCAAACGATCAAACACTGAGATCAAATAGTTCATTCCAATGACTGCAATGCATTGCTTGACCCGCAAGCAGCTGGAGATTACTCAAACCGCAGTCCAGAGATCTAAACACACAACCAATGAAGTTAAGTTTGAAATCTCAAGGAGAATCCAATGGCTCGGAGAAGTCAGAAAATTCTGGTGGCTTCTCGTCAAATTCTTGAAGCTTGACAAATGAAGAAAAAGTTGAAGAGGTTACTTAGGGGAAATTTTTGATGCAAGAAAGTGACCCTCTTAAACTTGTCAATCCGAAGCCATCTCCTCAACCGCAATGAACTTCTCTACCGCAAGCTCTCCCAAAGACGTTATCCGCAATGTCTTCATCAGCAACAAAGACTTATTTATTTTCTTTATTTAACTTATCCGTTTACATTGTATTATCTATTGTGCCTTGCATGGACACTTTGTCAGAATTTTAGTCTTTGTTTATTCTCCATGTAATTTCACGAGACTCTATAAATAGAGTTCTCATCTTTTGAATGAAACACATCCCTTACATCTCTAACATATCTGTTCTCTCTTTATCTGAATTACTCTCTCTAAATTGTTTCTTACCTTCAAAGTTCTTTCTAAACTTACACTTATATTTTAAGATCAAACTCTCAAACTCTCCTTCGGATCAATTCCTTGAGACTTCTTCATTTTAGCTGATCACTCTTGCTGACTTGTGTTTGATTGCAAACCTTGTCACGAATAAGCATAGTGTTTACTTGATATATAACTTGCTGTCATTTATATTTCCTTACATTTTCGAACATACATTTCCGCAACTAACTATCTAACAACTCTAACTTCTAATTATTGTTGAACTTTATGATCCTTTGATATTAACTTTATTCTGTAATCTATAAGTTGTACTAACGTTTGTTAAAGTGTTTCTCAAATGTTTTTCTCTCAATGGATGACAAATGTCGTATCATTTCGACGCCTGAAGAACGTCGAGGCGGGCAATTAATTATTAGCACGGTTATGAAAACTCATATGATAAACGACAAAACTTTATTTTTACGTAAAATCGACAATACACTTATTTTACGTAAAAACATATCGCTTCAAACGGGTTTACTTACAAATAAAACTACACGTTAATAAACTAAGTATGACATTTATACTTGTACTTTTCGGTCTTGGAGCTTTTAAGACTACAAATCAACTTTATTGGAAAATATAGGATTTTTTGGGTTAAACACTTTCGTTTTACAGCAAACGGCTTACAACTCATTTTAAAGAAAATATCAGATTTTTTAGAACAAACATGACTTCATAACATACAACTTTTCATACAAATACTTATGAACTCACCAACTTAATTGTTGACACTTTTTCGAATAACTTGTATTCTCAGGAAATCAGTAATACAGGTAACCACAGCTTTTGAGGACGGAGCGCTAAGGCGTTAGTTCAAAACATCTTTTGTCATCATATGATAATTTATTTGGAAACATGTAAACTTTGAAAAAATGTAACCTTTTAAATTATATCTATGATGTTTGTGTTTGCTTTCTTTACTATTCAATTGTTATGATACTGTACATGACGTCCTCCGCCCCCGAACGTTTCCGTCGTTCCGGTTTGGGGGTGTGACAGATTGGTATCAGAGAATTGTTTATAGTGAACTAAGTATATCAAACCATATGATATACAACTATAAATATAATGGGACTAAAACACTTTGACCCAGAGTTCTACTTTTTAAATATAATAGTAGTTTTATAAAAAGTATACATGCATACATTTGTACTTAAACAACGTCATAATAAGAACAAAACAAAAGTATTCAAGATGCGTTGAACACTATGAGCGTTCCTTGTATTATGTAATCATGTTTGGGATTAATATAGCCTGATCAACTATATTTGTCTGAGAGTTGACTAGCATATGCCTTGGAATAGCCGTAGCGAGCAACAAGTCTAAAAACTTACCAACCCTATAAACTTTAGAACCAAACATAAATACTATAGGAGTATTTTATGATACTATAAGAAGCATAAAAACAACAATTAGACTTCGATAATTAGTTACATACACTTAAGTTTTTCATGTATTTCTCACATCCCTATTCTTGCACAGACTAAATGGCAGGAATTCACCTACATTGAGACCCTTATCTCCAAAATCAAGGCAACGGTGGAGGGATTGAATAGGATCCGGAGGAGGATCCTGAAGAAATAATAGAAGAGGAAACAATGGAGGACGATGAAGAGGATGAACCAATGGAAGACGAAGAAGAGGAAGATTCAGATGACACTGACTCGGACGTAGAAGCCTACAACCCACCGCGAGCTGTCCGATACCCTGCACCTAGGCAAAAACTTCTTCGGCACAACAAACATTTGGGTTGTGGACATAAGGAGATGGGGCCAAGAACAGGGCCAACGCTCTTCTTACAGAATGGAAAGAGGCTTCTATAACCTCTCTCAAGAAGGTTCAGCTGACAGGGATCTTCATGTCGTAGTACGCAACATAGCTCGTAAAATGGAACAAGCACAAGCATCAGTCAACCAAATCATGGTAGTAAACGCTACTGCCCAAGTCAACACAGTTAACCTTCGTCGTCTGGATGAAGACCATGATCAGACCAACAACTATACCGAATCTCTTCAAGAAGAGATGAATGCTGACCGAGCTGAAATAAGAGCACTTTGGGAGCGTCAGGGTACACTAGAGAGGCGT